GCATGAGGTTGACCATGGATCAGAAGTCCAAATCCCCATCATCTTCGGAGAAATCCAATGCCGCGACAAGAGGCAGAAAAGACAAGCTCCCAAAGAACGTCATGCCACGAGGAAAACGTTGGGGAAGAACCAGATTCACTGAGAAAGAAGAAGTGACCAAATGCTTCTACAGTCAGTCAGCCTATATGTACGACATTGGTGATCGTGAAGAAGGAGGACAGTACTTAGTGAATGGCGTCGAAGTCAACCCAATTAGCCGAGGTGTGAAGAATCGTCACGAGCTTGATATGCTGATTGAACGTGCAGCTGAGGAATCCCCACCTGTTTTGCCGACCATTGAAGAGCTGAACGCTTGGAACCCCAAAGATCATGATGCATATGTGAAATGGCTTACTGAAGAAAGGAAACAACGTGGAGACAACTGGAATTTCAAGTACATCCAACCATTCACACATGGCCACAACATTGGTACACTTCAGCTTGCTCGCATCAATGGAGAAGAATATCTTGGAATGGGCTGGTGTAAGGTGCATCGATATGGCGAGAATGAGTGGATGGGCGACAAGTGGGACAATCCGCAATGGATAGTCGAATTGTCGAAGAGATTCAATGCAGCGCTACGCCACTCCGTGGGTTGCGTCAAAGACAATCGAAACCACCGTGGACTACCATGCGATGAAGCAGGTTGGGTCAATGTCGAATCGATCTTGAAGTATGACAACATTTGGAGAGACCAACATACATTGGCTGGAACGACCCGCGTCAACTACCCAATACTTGTTGAGAGGTGGAACAATTTCCAGAGAGTGATCTTCACTGAGTACAAGCAGACGAAAAGGATCCGAGCTCAAGTGCTAGGACTCAAAGTCACGAAAGGTGAGTTGGAACACATCATGAACAACTTCAATGACGAATTGACCTCGAGACTTGAACGACACACACTGAGATTGGAGATCGGAACATCAGATCGAGAGATTTGGCTATGGCCAGTGGCGATCCGTGCCCCTATGGCTCATTCAAGAGTTCAAGGAGGTGTACACATCGAAGACAAGAAGACTTCCTATCAAATGAACCCTGGAGTCGGATACACTCTTGGAGGAGGATTTCATTGCACCACTTTTGACAACATCGCTCAAATCTTCAGAGAAGGACTACGTCCCGGAGGAGGAGGCGACCGCATCAACACGTTCTTCGTGCCATTCGCACCGTGGGACGTACGAAGTCAGTCGGTGCTGAGATTCAGGAAGATCGAACAAACTGATCTTGTCTACATCTACATCACGTACGATTCCCTTGCCAAGTTCTCCCCTCGATTGTCAGCAGACGGACACATTTTAGTCCAAGAAACAATTCCATTCGAATCATTCGATGCAGTTTGGTACTACGATTGCAAGGAAAAGGACTACTACCGTCTTATGATCACGAAGGGAAAAGATCAACTCGTACTTTCTGTACAAGGAGCAAGGAGAGTGGCCACCATTGAACGATTTGACAAACTCATTGGGAACATTGTGCCTGATGAATCATCACCCGATCTGAACGAACTTCGAAAGCTTGTCGATATCAAGACCGGTCACTTCAGTCATGCTCACAGATTGTTCCCTGGACATCCGGATTGGAATGATGCAATATCATTGTTAGCAGTCACTCATCATCCCAGCAAGGAGGACCATCGACTATGCCCCGCATGTCTGATGGAGACCCCTGCACCACTATCGATTTGCGTGATGTGCAAAGGATTTTTGGTGAGTCACGGATGGAGGAAACGAATCAAGATCACCGTGGCTACAGTACCAAGTGCCGAATCACATCATCGAGAAGAAGATCTCAAAGACCATGTCAAGAAAGCATGGGAGGAGGTGAAGATCGATTTGACAGGTGATGGTGATGGCGACGAGATGATGCCAGATGATGATGACATCAACATGAAGAGTCCAGAACAAGAACCTCAACCAGAAGAGGGAGATGATGACCAAGCCTCGAAGAAAGGCGACATCAATGATGAGAAAAGAGACTTCAGAGAACAAGATGAGGTCGACAAGTTTCTAAACCAGGAAGGAAAACCGACCGATGAAAATGATGATGAAGAAATAGCGGTCGATGAGATCAACATTGAAGAATATGAGGCTGGAGAAGCTCGGGATGCAGTGATTGAGTACCCCAAGTGGATGAAGCGGATTGAGTTTGGATCAAAGGTCCTACCGATCGAGCCTTGCACAATTGGAGATGCTCAACCGGAGCTCATCAAAATCCTCCTGTTGCAAATTGGATTACATATCGTCAGGATCTACAGACTATTCCAACGAAACTTCTGTGGTGACATCGAGACGGCATGGAAACATTTTCAACAGACCCGAAAATTCAGGATGGACCTGGACTCAAGAGTGCCTTACCTAGGCGAGGATGAGAATGGTGAACTCATTGAACCAACTGCACAACAGATGAAAGAGCTCTACGGAGAGATCGGCCGACCAAATCAAAAGGACGACATCGGAGAAGAGGGATTCGTCAATGCATACTATGGGTCGGTGGTAATCAAACGACTTCTCGTGTATACCCTTGAATGCGGTTATACATATGAAGACTTGCAAAATATCTTCTTCGATGAAGAGATGGAGAAGCTGTCGAAACGTGACACAACGATGGATGAGATGAGGAAGACCACAGCGGCCCGCGACGCCCTTGACCGACAAGACGTCATGGTCAGAAGAATCATTGCAGGTGCATACAAGGTGAATGCTGTTTATTTCTTCAGGAACGTCGACTTTCAAGACACAATCACACTGAACCCAGTTGACATTGTGTGTGCTCTTCGTCCCGCACTTCGAAGAATATCACTTTTACACCTGATCCTTCAAAATGGCCGACAATTGCCACGACCTCTACTCCAGAAGCTGTATGATGCGATTGACGACTACAACCACATCAAACAACGGGACGATCAACGACCAAGATGGGGCATCCACATGTCTGACGCCCACCTACTTGCGATTGCTGATACCCCAACTCCTGCCGATCGTGAACGTGCTAACCAAGCCGCTGGCAAATCGAAAGCAGCCCCGAAAGCGGCAACAGCACTGGGCAGGGTGTCAAAAGCGAAAGCATCATCGTCAGCAACATGGAGAACAGTTGAAACCGCTCCTCCGCCAAAACAAGCTCCAGTAACCCCGCCACAGAAAGGTGGAAAAGACAAAGGAAAAGGTGGAAGATCTTATTCGCACCGTGGTGGAGACTGGAACCAACAGGGATACTATGGATGGGGATATAGATGATAAATCAATATGACCTCTGCATAGGTCCTGATTGAACCTGGCGGTGCGAGGATGCAATCATTGCTCGAGATTTACCTCTATTTCATTTCGAATGATTTCTGAGAGGACTCTGAGCCGGCTAATTTATAACCACACATTTTTTTTGAACATCATTGCACGAGACGCTGAGTTTCTACAGCGGTCTACATCTCAACCGACGAAGGAACGGGAAGGTAAACTTCTAGTTCCATAGTCAACTTTGTGTTTTGACTTCTTTAATTCACATGCTTGAGTGGGATTCCATGCTGGCTACGCCACATCGGATGAACCTCAATGCTAGACACCGACTACGTCGTGTCTACGTGCACGTGAACAGAACCTTTTATCCTTTGGTAGAGATCGTAGCAAGCCGCCATGTAGATTTGAAGTTCTGAACGGACTTTAGCTCTCCATAATTCAATAAATGAACAGCTGCAGATGTAGTGGATCAATTCGAGGGACACTCCTTAGCGCGTGGCCGACAAAGTTGGCCATGCGTGGGGGGTGCGAGTAGAGTGTAGGCTACGGACAGTTGTATATTATCACAATTAGACACTCTAGGATCCAGCACCAAAGGGGCTTTTCAAACTGGCCTCTTTGGCTCAAGACCCACTGCAGCACTGGAGAAAACAACAGCAATGCGGAAGCTGATGCCCTTGTAACGTCATCACTGGAACGACTACTTCGACATAAACTATCAGGACATAATCGGGCAAGCAATCCCCGATTCGCAATATATATATATATTTATACATATTCAATTGGCATAATAATGAACACATAGAACTATAACTATGATACTTCCCGAAATATTCTCAGTTTATAACTCCCACTAGGGTTTAGGGGTATGTAGATATATCAATCATGAGGGCTATAAACCAAATTCATACATGGGATGCAGGACCATCAACAAAAGCCAATATTGGGGGATGGTCGTGCCATAGCCCATTCATTTTGACCAAGGCCCATGTCAGAATATGGTAAATAGACGTAAACACATATGGGTTAGTACCATATTCCCATATTTACAGACTAACCACGATATTCCCATATGGTAAGAATATGGTAAGAATATGGCTTCGTCTGTACTAAGCATACTGAAAATGGTTAATCCATATGGTACTAACAATATGTTAGTCCTCAATTCCAATGGATTTCCCAGGGGCCTCATGATTTTTCCCCTATGATTTGATGGCAATTTAGGGGCATCCCGACAGAAACAGGACTGGACTCCGTGGATTCCGTGGATTCCGTGGACTCAAATGACTCATCTCATGGACAGATAGTGGATTTCTCCACTATTTCTATGGAAAGATCCACCATTTTCAATGGGTAAATCCACTATTTCTATGGAAAATCACCATCTTCAAGTTCGGTAAACCAACTATTTCTATGGGCCATTTTCCAGTTCGCAAACTGCGACAAATTACCAGTCATTACCAGAGGGTATAAGGTGAGTTTAGAGTTTCAACATGCGAAACGAAGGACAGTTTCTGTATCCAGTCGTTTGATTTCTGGGGTGATGAAGCGGTCCACGAATGGCTGAAACAATGGACTCGTCAGCTGCCCATCAGCACATCTTGGGCTTTAGCAAACATACCCGGTACAATGAGAAACGTACGTCTATGGAAGTGGTTGAGAGTAGCTATTTTTTTTTAGGTGACCGTCTCACAACTACTGGACGGTGACTCCCATTGTAGTCCCAACTAGGCCATTTTTTGGTACGTTGGCGATGGGGAGCAGTACCACTCCTCTCAGTGCCTTGGCACCAACGATGAGATCTGGCTTTGTCAATAAGGTACTAAAACATACTAAAACCCAATGGTTAATTGATATTAATGGCATTAATTGATACTAATGGTACCAAAACCCAATGGTATCTTCATCATTTTCCCAGCAGTTGATAGAAACATGGTTCTTCTTGGGCACCCAATTTCGGACAAACTCCTGGGATATGAGAGATTCTGGCGTTCCATCAGAGGTATTGGTTAGATCTGTGAGTTTCATGATTCAGCATGTTGGGAGGATGAATCTGGCTACATGTCATGCTTTTTTTGGAGAAAGCATCCATCTGGCAACCTTACACAATAAAGGATGGGAGAATACTTTTCCAGATGAATTTGATGCACCGTGCAAAAATGGTGTTTTTTTTTGGTAGACTGTCTACATGATGGGAACAGGATGGGTTGATTAGTGAACTGTTCATGCGTATCATGGCTAACTGACGAGATCTGTCATCGTTAGCCATACTTAGTCTTCTTATGTATTTTTTAAGTTCCACAATTGACAACTAGATGGTAGATTTACTAAATAAGTTAGATTTCATCCGGTCTTATTGTCAACAAGCAACATATTTAGATACGGACAATCAACATGATATTAACATATATTAACTAGTCAAACACAACAATCATCAGCCGCATATCATAATTAATATACTGTTGGATTGGTGGCCCAAAGAGTGGTTCCAAATATCAAAAAAAATCCATCCATCTCTGCCGATGGTTTTGATGCCCCATCGATGTTCATCGTTTTTTTGAGGGCTGAAACCACCAGATGAAGATTTGACCATTCGAAACTGTGACTGGGAACCCAGCCAAGTTGGGACTTCAAAAACTTCGAAAAAAACCGGTGGGATAAACCCCTAAAATCCGTTGGTTTTTTTCCTCAATCATCCCATGAAATCATTGAGATTTGCATGAACAACTGTGGATTTCACCAGCATTTTCAGGGAAAAACCGCGTGTTTTTGTTGGGCTGTTCTCTGCCAAAAAGGACCATGGTCTTGACCAAGGAGCCGGCCGCACCTGCCAGGATTTGAGACCTCCGGTTTTCTATGGGATTCTGTTATCGATGGGATGTATGAATACACGGGGCACGAACCATAGATTTCTACAGCCCACCATAAATATACATGGGTCATTAAATGTCCCCATTGAACATCACCCAACCATTAGGTATATGGTCTATAATGACTACTATAAGGTGATGTCCAATATACCCAAAATGGGACAGTTACCAACCCCCGATATATAAATGGCATCGCAGCGAGCAAAATGGAATGATGACATATATAGGACTTGAACTTGACCAAAGAAATTATGTTGTGGTGTTGCGCATTGTATTGAACTAGAAACGCAAAAAACATTCAGCCATAGGCGGACATAGGACAATGATGTGCCAATATATTCCTGGAAAGCTGTGTAGATGCTGACAGGGCCTCGGCTCGCTGTCAGCCACATGCCTTCACATGCGGCGAAACACTTCCTGGTTGGTGGTTTGGAACATTGGGAATGTGATCATCCCAACTGACTTTCACTCCATCATTTTTCAGAGGGGTAGGTACCCTCTGGTAATTTAACATAGCTATTGAACATGGCCATAAAAATAGTGGATTTTCCCCTTAAAAACGGTGGATCTTTCCATAGTTACGTTAGTTTACCAGAGGGTTATACCACCAACCAGGATATATATCACGAAAGCCAGCCGAAGGCCTGGGCTTGAGTATAGGTATAAGCGAAGCGAAGCGAAGCTAATCTAGGGGGTGTGGGGGGGGGAGGCCCGAAATCGGTCCGTTTTTGAAAGGTGAGGCCGGAGCCTGGGGGGGGAGAGCTCAAAAACCGACCTGCCGTTTGCCTGGTTTTTTGGGCCCGAACGAGATGCTCCATTTTGGACACTTGTTGGTGGTTTTCGACGGTTTTCATCGGGTTTCAAGCGCCAAAACACTGTAATTTACGGTGTTTTTGTGCGTTTGGCCTGGCAAAAGTACGTCTTGCAACATGCTGAAAACAGCGTAAATACCACTGTTTTTGCTAGGTTCTGGCCATAAAACACTGTAAATACCGTGGTTTTTGGTTCCAGGAGCAAAAAACACCGCAAATACCGTGGTTTTGGGCTTGCGAGGCGTCAAAAAAACACGGTCTTTACGGAGTTTTTTGCTCCGAGAATGTTCAAAAAACACGAAAACACCACCTATTTGACCATTTTTAGGCTTTACCTTGTTGGTGGTTCTTGACGGTTTTCATCGGGTTTCAAATGCCGAAACACTGTAATTTACGGTGTTTTTGTGCGTTTGGCCTGGCAAAAGTACGTCTTGCAACATGCTGAAAACAGCGTAAATACCACTGTTTTTGCTAGGTGCTGGCCATAAAACACTGTAAACACCGTGGTTTTTGGTTCCAGGAGCAAAAAAACACCGCAACTACCGTGGTTTTGGGCTTGCGAGGCGTCAAAAAACACTTTTTTTTTTTTAAACGGAGTTTTTTGCTCCGAGACTGTTCAAAAAACACGAAAACACCAACTATTTGACCATTTTTCGGCTTTGCAAATGAAGGTTTTAAAAAAAATGCCGCAACGTCTCTGCGTGAAGATGTTTCTATGTAAAAGCGTCTCTGTGTAAAAGCGTTTCTCTGTAGATATATCTGTGTGTACAAGGGTCTGTGTGTACAAGCTTCTGTGTGTAAAAGGGTCTCTGTGTAAAAGCTTCTGTGTGTAAAAGCCTCTGTGTGTCAAAGCGTATGTATGTAAAAGTGTTTGTGTGTAAAAGCGTCTGTGTGTAAAAGGGTCTGTTTGCAACATTCTGTGTATGCGTAAAAGGGTCCGTGTGTAAAAAGGTTCGTGTTTAAAAGTGTCTGTGTGTAAAAAGGTCTGCGTGTAAAAGCATTTCTGTGTCAAGATGTTTGTGTGTCCAACAGTCTGTGTGCTACTACGACTCTGTGTAAAAGCCTTTCCGTGTAAAGATGTTTGTGTGTAAAAAGGTCTGTATGTAAAAGCCTCTGTGTGTGAAAGCGTATGTGTGTAAAAGTGTTTGTGTGTAAAAGCGTCTGTGTGTAAAAGGGTCTGTGTGCAACATTCTGTGTATGCGTAAAAGGGTCGGTGTGTAGAAAGGTTTCTGTTTAAACGTGTCTGTGTGTAAAAAGGTCTCTGTGTAAAAGCATTTCTGTGTCAAGATGTTTGTGTGTCAAAAGCGTCTGTGTGTAAAGCTGTCCCTGCGTACACGGGTCTGTGTGTAAAAGCGTCTGTGTGTACAAGCGTGTCTGTGTGAAGCTGTTTGTCTGTAAAAGCGTCTCTGTGTCAACGTGTTTCTGTGTAAAGCTCTTGTAAAAGGGTCTGTGTGTAAAAGCATCTGTGTGTCGAAGTAAAAAAGTGTCTGTGTGTAAAAGCGTTTGTGTGTGTAAAAACGTTTGTGTGTAGTCTGCAAGGGTCTGTGTGTAAAAGGGTCTATGTGTTTTTAGCTTCACAATGCTGGGTCATAGCTTCCGTTTGCTTGCTGTTCGTTCTAAAATTGTATATGTAGCCGTTTCCCGTTCTTCCCAAAAGCGAAATGCAATAGCCGGCCGAATGGCCGCCAAATGGCAGAAAATTGCTGCCAACAGGTTTCTGCTCTGGATCTGGCTCCAAAAGGCTCCTGGCCAGGATTTGGCCTAAAACGGCCGTTTCCCCTTGAGCCCAGAAGGCACTTTTCGTTGCCGGCCCGCAAGCCGCGAAAGTCTTAAAAGCCGGCTCCAAAAGGCTTCGGCCAGGATTTGGCTAAAAATGGCCGTTTCCCCTTGATCCCAGAAGGCCCTTTTAGTTGCCGGCCCGCAAGCCGCGAAAGTCCCACAAGCTGGCTCCAAAAGGCTCCGGGCTTGCGAGGCATCAGAAAACACGTTTTTTTTTTCGGAGTTTTTTGCTCCGAGACAGTTCAAAAAACACGAAAACACCAACTATTTGACCATTTTTCGGCTTTACAAATGAAGGTAAAAAAAAAACATGCCGCAACGTCTCTGTGTGAAGATGTTTCTATGTAAAAGCGTCTCTGCGTAAAAGCGTTTCTCTGTAGATATATCTGTGTGTACAAGGGTCTGTGTGTACAAGCTTCTGTGTGTAAAAGGGTCTCTGTGTAAAAGCTTCTGTGTGTAAAAGCCTCTGTGTGTCAAAGCGTATGTATGTAAAAGTGTTTGTGTGTAAAAGCGTCTGTGTGTAAAAGGGTCTGTTTGCAACATTCTGTGTATGCGTAAAAGGGTCGGTGTGTAAAAAGGTTCGTGTTTAAAAGTGTCTGTGTGTAAAAAGGTCTGCGTGTAAAAGCATTTCTGTGTCAAGATGTTTGTGTGTCCAACAGTCTGTGTGCTACTACGACTCTGTGTAAAAGCCTTTCGGTGTAAGGATGTTTGTGTGTAAAAAGGTCTGTATGTAAAAGCCTTTGTGTGTAAAAGCGTACGTGTGTAAAAGTGTTTGTGTGTAAAAGCGCCTGTGTGTAAAAGGGTCTGTGTGCAACATTTTGTGTATGCGTAAAAGGGTCGGTGTGTAAAAAGGTTTCTGTGTAAAAGTGTCTGTGTGTAAAAAGGTCTCTGTGTAAAAGCATTTCTGTGTCAAGATGTTTATGTGTCAAAAAGTGTCTGTGCGAAAAAAGCGTCTATGTCTCACGGCGTCTGTGTGTGCAAGGGTCTGTGTGTCAAAGGGTCTATGTGTAAAAGCGTCTGTGTGTAAAGCTGTCCCTGCGTACACGGGTCTGTGTGTGAAAGCGTCTGTGTGTACAAGCGTGTCTGTGTGAAGCTGTTTGTCTGTAAAAGCGTCTCTGTGTCAACGTGTTTCTGTGTAAAGCTATTGTAAAGGGGTCTGTGTGTAAAAGCATCTGTGTGTCGAAGTAAAAAAGTGTCTGTGTGTAAAAGCGTTTGTGTGTAAAAACGTTTGTGTGTAGTCTGCAAGGGTCTGTGTGTAAAAGGGTCTATGTGTTTTTAGCTTCACAATGCTGGGTCATAGCTTCTGTTTGCTTGCTGTTCGTTCTAAAATTGTATATGTAGCCGTTTCCCGTTCTTCCCAAAAGCGAAATGCAATAGCCGGCCGAATGGCCGCCAAATGGCAGAAAATTGCTTCCAACAGGTTTCTGCTCTGGATCTGGCTCCAAAAGGCTCCTGGCCAGGATTTGGCCTAAAACGGCCGAGCTGGAGCTGATCTGGACGAAAGTATCGTGGAATGCTAACAACTAGCAACCGCCTTTACTTCGAGATACTTCAGCGCAGAGACAAAAAAAACCATGAGCATTGCTTTGGGGGCTGGCTTTCGTCCCCCCCTTCTCAGGTATGTATATATATATATATATCCATGAACCACCATTAACCACCATTAACCACCATTAACCACCACTGGGGTAGGTGGCCCCCACCACCCAGCTTCCATTCCCATGCTGGGATCCATCCGACGTGATGATGCCAGGTCCGGTGCGCCTATTGCAGCTTCTACAGCAGCTCGACTGCGGTTTCTGGGGGGTCGTGACAAAAAAAGGGGCTACCCCACGGGTGGTTAATGGTGGTTAATGGGATTTAATGGTGGTTAATGGGATTTAATGGTGGTTTAATGGGATTTAATGGGATTTAATGGGATTATAATGGGATTTAATGGTTAATGGATATATATCCTGGTTGGTGGTATACCCTCTGGTAAACGTTGACATAACGAACTGGAAAGATCCACCATTTTTCAGGGGAATATCAACTATTTCTATGGCAATTTTCAATAGCTATGTAACAAATTACCAGAGGGTAGCCACTTAGCCATAGCCAAGCCAAGGTGACTGACCGGTGACCAAAATGGATCGGCATTGATGGCATAGATCTAGTGGAAGGTTTGGGCATGGAAATGTTGGGTTATTGAAGAAAACGACATGCTATAATCAGGTAAAGATGTGATATACTACTGCATTGGATTTTACAAGATATGAGATTATTTGACGGGTTGGATTCCTACTTCTAGCTGGAGAAAGATAAATATCCAAAGCATTCCACCGCTTCGCATCCCATTCCAGTTATGGTTCCTGTGCCACAATTCTTCTGGACCCTGCTTGGCTGTGCTTGCTAGAAAGTGGTTGATAACTCATACATATATACTGGTTGGCGGTTTCAAACATTTATTATTTTTCCATTCAGTTGGGAATGTCATCATCCCAAGTGACGAACTCCATCATTTTTCAAGATGGTTAAAACCACCAACCTGTATCTATATATATATATACACACATACCTTGGGCTTATCCGAGCTCCATGGTCATGAACCACATGCCCACTAGGATTCACGTCACCAGAAGATGCTGTCTTCTCATTTTCGCAATCCTTGGGCCATTGGGGATTCCTTTTTTTATTTCGGGCCCCCTGGCGGCGAAGCCGGCCAAATTCAACCTGGGCGGATGTCACATCACTTGGGGCCGAACTTTTTTTCCGGTGAATTTCTGATACCAAAAAAAGCCATGTTTTTTTCCCATCTGGTGAGTGGTGACTGAAACATGGCTGCAAAAAATGACTTTCCCATCATCCCAACGGACCAACCAGCCATGATTTCACCATGATGTTTCAAGGGATTTCAAGGCATGGGGCAGTGCAGGAGGGATTTCCGGGGCGATTTTTCTCCATCAACTTCTCCGGTGATTTCCATCACCGTTTCCGGTTCGTGATTTTCCCAAGAAAACATCCTTAAACCAACCGACCATCTGCTTGGATGATGAAATTTCACTAACATCCCAAAAAAACTCCCTATTATTCGATGATTAAGATACCCGGCCTGGTAAACGTTTACATAACTATATGGAAAGATCCACGATTTTATAGCTGGGTACATCAACTATTTCTAATTATGGTCATTTTCTATGTCGCAAACTGTAAACGTTTACCAGGCCGGGTAACCATCATTAACCATTGATATCCCCATTAACCATCATTAACCATTGATATCCCATATGGATAGCAACAATTCACCAGGCCGGGTATACTAAGCTTTTTATGAGATCCCCAAAAAAATATGAGCCAAGTCGTCGGACTTCCCAGGTATCACTCTGCCCAACCTGCCCGATCGATCGCTGTCAGTCACCATGACACTCTCAGTGAACGACGAACACATAGGCGGAGGGTGCGCAAACGCGGCGCAGCGACGTGGACGCTTGAGTTTTTTTTTTTTATATGGCATAGATGTCATGATATAATCATGAAACCTTGGATAGTTTCTAGGATTTTTAAGGAACATTATGATTCGGTGTCTGAAAATAGGAAAATTAACCCAACTTGTATCCAAGTTCTTGGCAATCTCTCCATAGGATGATGAACCTGTGGATTTGGGATAGCGGTTTCGCTTATGGCTATGCCGCAAGGCCTGATCTGAAAAATGGAAGGGGTCTGACATATCAATGTTTCATCCCCACATGACAATGGCGGCTTGATATTTGAAGGCATGTGGCACAAATAAAACGAAACACCACGGGCTACGGGTCCATGTTTCGACTGGATTCGATTTTTTTCGACTGGTCATGTTACCATTTTATGGGTTGCATCCGGTATCCGCCCGTTTTGCCCATCTCGTACTGATTTCCTCGTCATCCCTACCACTGTGGTTGCTTTTGTGGCTTTGTTTTGGGGCCGCGTTTGATTCTTAATATTTCTGAGTGATTTACCCCATAGGATCCATGGTGCTGCTATATATGGTAACATGGATCCTATCAATATACCCCAAATGTTAGCATATATACCAGCACCATGGATCCTATGGGTACTCAATCAAATGCTTTTGGATAATTTCAACCCGCCAGGCCAGTGGACTGATAAAAGTGCAAGAATCATAACTTCCGTCAGGTGTGGCATTTCTGGACTTCAAAGACTTTGGGGAGAGCCATGTTTTCAAGGTGCCTGGGAGTGGGTTGGGCCCCACTTTCATGAGGAAAGCATAGGGAAAATATGGGGAAAACGATGTTTTGACATGTTTTAAAGATCTTGAATGATCTTGAGGGATAATAACCAGCTGAGTTTTCGAAACCTATGAGATCTATGAGATCTATGTCCCATTAAGATCAAACCATCTTGGACATCTCCCAAAAAAAATTCCGAAAATCGAAGCCAGGAGGACAAAGTGAAGCTGCTGACCGATGCGGGAGTCTTGGCCTCCTGGCACTGTTGCAGGGGAAAATGTTGGAAAATGGACTGGGTTTCTGACAGTTTCTGATGGCCATCTGGAATGGGATTTTCAATGGGATTTTCTGGAATCTAATTGACGTTTTTAATGGGATTTCCTGGAATCTAATGGGATTGAATTGATTCTTTTTTCCAGCATGAATGGGGACGAATTATGCGTTACTCGCGATGGACCAACAGCACTTTTTGTCTCCTGTTGGGACTCGACTGGGTGGTGGTCCACTGGGATCCATCGATCCGGAGACTGTGAAGTGGCTTATATAATCCTGGAGTGTTGGAACATTTAGTATGGGGTAATGATGGTTAATGATGGTTAATGATGGTTAATGATGGTTAATGATGGTTAATGATGGTTAATAGTAATAGTGGTTAATAATCACTGGTTGGTGGTGACTGGAACCATGGAATTTTATGACATGACTTTCCCATCATATTGGGAATGGAATGTCATCATCTGACGAACTCCATTGAGGGGTTGAAACCAGCAACCAGCAGGGTCTTCAAGAGCCAAGTGATCCTAGGCTGTGGCCACCCTGCACACTGCCTCGCAAGCACGCTGGTCCTACGTTGGGGCGGCCAGTCACTGGGGATTCCCCGACAGGATGAGCCAGTGATTGTAGGTCAATGGAGGTTTCCTAAGTCATGGGGGACCCCCCCAGTTCTCATCCGTTTTCGTCGGATTTTCCCAACTAACCAGCAAGATCCGTAGATGGAAATCATCTTGGTTCTCGAATGTTCTCTGTCTGACAGGCATTCAGAAATCCACTTTGAGTTTGAGGGGTACCGGCCAATTCCATCGAATCAAAACCGGATATTTTTGCGATTTCATCAACATCATCAACCGGCAATTCGGGGACAATGTCGTAAACCCAATCGTCAACGAATTTGGGGATGGTTTGGAACATCTATTTGTCGTGGGGGCCGGTTATGGACAGTTTACCACATTACATCCCATCTTGGATATCCCGAACGACAAACGATTACCCGAACGTACATCCAACAATTTTCACACATCAATTCATAGAATGCATCGATCCATATCCCCCAAATCTTCACCACCAGGTCCAAAAACGGGGGGTGGTTTACTATGAATGAAGGGATCATCGAATCATCACATTCCCATGGATCCCGGAAAACGCGTTTGAAAACGCGCCCGAGTCCGCGCCGATCCTAGCGGACACCACAGGGTGCGGAGCCCCAAATGGGCCATAACTGGGCCTTTTTCAACGGGTGCCTCAAAGAGGGGTAATGTGGGCAAGGCAATGATTGAGGGATGGTTTATACCGCATGGCACAGGGTTTACACCACATTACTGTGCTTCATCCCCGAAACTAGCATCCATCAATCTGGGCTTCGCTTCCGCTAGATCCATTACTGTAGTATATACAGCTATAGCAGCTATAGTTTATCTAGATCTTAGTATTCCCATGTGTTCCCAAGTACATAGTATGTAACTATGTACTATAATTCTTAGATCTTAGATAGTCATGTATTCCCTGCATGAATCATGACCCCTAGATCTGGTCGCCAGGTTCTTTGTGGATCCCAGCAGTGATGACCAAGCGAAGCAGTCGGAGTCTCTGAGAGGATTTTGAAGCAAAATGGGGATCCCAGTTGGACCCGAAAATCTCAACCATGGGACCTATTTTTGGACCCGAAAATCCCATGAATCTCAGAACCATGGGACCTGAATGGTCATAGAATTCGTGGGATGAATTCGGAGAAATTTGAGAGTTTCTTCCCAGATTTCACCGTGACTGGAAATGGGAAAGTTATACATTATTAGCATTAGAGAGGATTCGAGGCCGGATCTGGACATGGCATTTTTTGGGGTGTTGAAGATTGGCAAAGACGATCTGATAAAAAAAGGCGGTTACAAACAGGAAAAACACAATCCAACCACGAATGAGCAAGGAACCAAAGAACTCAGAATTTGAAGGGCTTGTTGTGCCTTTGTTGATGGAACACTGCAATGGGAGCCACTCAGCCGAGAAATTCTCAGGATAGAAACCTTTTGGGCCTGTCCATTTACATGCCCAGATTGACTGAGAGAGTCACCCCACCCATTTCACTTGCAAAATGTGGTCATTTTCCATCCTCTAGCCTGACTGCTAAGTCGACCCTGATTGTATCAAGCCGCCAATGAGTCGTGTGCCTGCTGGGGTTTTAAGTCTTCGTCGCTAATGTAATCATAGTACCAGTCAAATAGGGTTGCAGCAACCCCCAAAACAGATAGAAACGTAAATCCTACAGAAGTTGTGGACTACTGTATGACTTCTCTATCTTTTCGGGGGTTACTGAGCCTGTTTTAACTTTGTATAATTTCCCTGGGGGACCACCAGTCACTTTTTCGAATTGGATGTGGCTTATGGAATCATCACTGCGTAAACCTTGGTTGAGTAGTTTCCTTGGACACGCCATTGTCACAGCCAAGGCTGCATGAATACATCTTCCCCAAGGCCTGAGTTCGCCGTATTTTTTGGGGACCCGAAAGGCTCCAGTGCTTATTTGACCATGGGTCGTACCCTCTGGTAATTTAACATAGCTATATATTGAAAATGGCCATTTATTAAATAGTGGATTTTCCCATTAAAAATGGTGATTTTCCATAGTTATGTTAGTTTACCAGAGGGTAATCATCTTCAAGAATTTCTCCCCTGCAGGATGGATCCGGTTTCGTCGAGATCAGTGGCTTAAATCCATCCCTGGTCGATCTGTTGCAGGCTGATGGAACTGAAGAGCAGGGGGCCCCTGGGCCCCTGGCATGGCGAATGTGTTTTTTGGATGTTTCTCATGTGTCACGTTAGCCCCATTTTTGGACAACCCATATCCCAAAATGGCATGCCACAAGAATTACGGTGGTTGGAATACAAGGTATCGAAGCCGTCTCACTAAGGCAAGATAAGGCAGATGCAAAGGCAGAAGAGGCTGGTAAAAAGCTGGGTGGACATGAAAGCTGTGGATGGTTTCAATATGTTTCAATTTGGACTTGCTGTGGATGGGTTCCAAATTGACACCAAAACTTGGATTGCTTCATACTAAAGTCTGTTAGAGTCTTTTGGTACCTCATCTTTCATCCATCTCTACTTGGAGGATCATACCACGACTTTCTTTGCCCGGCTGGTTTAGAAGTCCTTCAAATAGAAGGTCTCGCACAGCCGTATGGTTGTTGACCACTACAGATTTCCGGGACGCAGAGAAATCGGGTGCAGTCAGATTGATGCGAGTGATGATGTGGTTTTTACTGAAATCCAGTTGGCGATGCTTTGCGGTTTTGGGCTATAAACTTTTGTAGCTCATCATCAGATCGTGGGAATCTTATCAGATCGTGCGTCAGTTGAATGGATGGTGACCTTTTAGGATCGTCGTTCTAAGCAGCGGTTTCTGGTGTGTTAACAGCGAGGTTCACCTCCCAAGACCATGTGAGTTTGTGTGAAAATGCGACATTCCCCCTATGAATCAGCTACCATTTGGTTGTGACTAACATAGCCATGGTATAGATGGCCATAGAAATAGATGGTTTACCGACCTCAAAAATGGTGGATCTTTCCATGGCTATGTTAGTCACAACCAGAGGCTACGGCTACTTCAATTTTTCATCATTCTCCCCATCAAGATAGCCAGGGGTGTGCCCAATTTTCAGACACAACAAATCTTTTGGATCCTGTGGTCATGCATCCCATCGCCCCATTGTCCCGTCGCACGGCGTGTAGGAAGTGGAGAAAGCCAGACAGGAAGAGGAAGCGAGAAAGAAGAGGGAGGCACTCGCCTGACCGGTGCTTTCGTAGATGGGACAGCGAAATCCTGCACCAGTCGTGACTTCCCACAGGACCATCCATCCACAGGGAAAGCCTGGATGATTTTGGTGGATTTTTGGACCACTTGGGTCCGCAGCTTTATTGTCCGACCACCCAAGGACTCCAGCAGGCTATCCTTGAAATATAGTACCAGTGGGATAAAGCCCAAGGGATATAATGATATAACTATAGTAATTTCAAGAGTAATTGATATATCATCAACAGTACAGTAATTGATATATCACCCATATTTAACACTACAATCGTAGAATTCTATAACACCGTTATAACTAATATAGTACTGTTGATATATATGATATATCAGCACTATTGATATATCACCACTGTTGATATTAGATATAACACCATTATATAACTAATATAGTACTGTTGAAATTGGATATATCACCACTATTCTTTAACACTATTGATATATCAGCACTAGACTTAGAACAGTAGTGCAATTCGATCAGTGGTGACATTCCTGATTCAGCGGCACAGGCCGAACGGCTCGAGGAGCAGAGGAGGGAAGACGAGCGACGGGAGGAAAGCCGCCGCTTTTCCGAGCGGCGCCATTTGGAGATGTGATGGGGATATCCCCAGGGAATACCGAGTAGGGAATACCTAAAATGAATAGAACGAGTAGGGAACGTATATACCTAAAACATAAATGAATAAATATGTTTTATGATTTAATTGAATATCTCAAACCTCTAGGGAAGACCTAAAATGAACGGAAAGTAAAGAATTAAATAAATCCTAGATTTAGGGTTGAACATGGACCCAGATATATTGAGGATACACTCCAGTAAACTAACAAGACGCTGTGGAAATCGATGGTCGTTTCCTGTTTGGAAATGATTTCATGTTTGATTTTCCATATGTTAGTTTAGTGGAGGACATCTTTCACCAACTTGATATGATTTTGGTATTTGGCACCTGAACATGTGGGGACCCACCCAAAATCTAATGGGGTTACTGGATTACCCTCCAGTTCATGAACATGTCAGACAGCTTAAGTATTTTTCAAACTGGACACCCTTTTTGTTTCCGTCTTCATGTTAAGGGAGGCTATGATCATTTTCCAACTGAATTTGTCAAGTCATTGGACCATCAGACCATCCGCAAGCTGATTCTGGGTTCCTTGCAAGGCGCAAAGGAAGCGAGAGCAGGACGAAGCTGGCAAGTTGTGTGACTCCTGGGAAAACGATGGGGTTTGATTGGTGAAAGGTTGTCAAATCCCAATGTGCTGTTGCTGAAACCATCTGAAACCCCAATTTTTGGATATTTTTGATGGATGTTCTATGGAATTTCACCAAGACCTCCATTTCCACGTTTGATTCTCGGAGGTTACCCCCCTTAAATTTGACAGCGAAGCCCAAGTTCTAGATTCAACAGGAACATCGTCTTCCAGAACGCGTATCAAATGGGGTTCCATCTGAAATTGTTGGCAGGCTTCCCCGAAATCATAACGACACCAGCGGTGAACTCGGGTGAACCTGAGCAACCAGAGATGAAAAAATGTTCCGTTGGTGAAAATTCACGCAGCGTTTTTGCGTGTTTAAGATTGCCAATCCCCATTTGGATTGGTGATATTCATTGATATTCCCCATTTTTTCCACAGGAGAGAGCTAGAGCAGAGCGGGTTGAATCATCAAGATTCAGAGGTTTTCTCCGCTGACTTAGGTAACCAACCGAGTTCTAGGGTAAATGTGAAAGATATTTTAAGTGCACAATGCTAATATTCATGTCTCCAAACAATTTTTGGGACCAGCAAAAAACATCAAAAAAAACCGTAACTTTTTCAGGATCCCCAAGTTGAAGAAACACTCAAACATCATTTTGTTCATGGATTGATTCACCACTCTTCACCATCATGAAGCCAACACACAAATGTGCTCGCTGTGCTCGCTTTCCAGGAGGAGAGGGAGGCGACCAGGCGACGATGGACATCCCCAATTTTCATAGAGATTTAGATTACCCGTTGGCAATGACTAGCGTAGCGAACTGGAACATCAACATATTTCAAAGAGGCAAATCATCCATAGATCATCGAACTAAATGGCCCATTTTCATCCATTTTCCATAGCTATGTTAAATAGTCAAAGGTCATCAGTTTCTCTATTCAGCTGCCGATTTTGGTGTATCTCCCATTCCCTTAAAATTGTCGGTTCAATTCCATTTGGTGAACTATCACATCAATCATACATACGCATATATACATATATGGCTGTGGGTCAAAATTAAAGACCTGGGGGACCACAGATATAAATCTATCTTTAGTAGTAACCATCCAACTATTGGGGTACCCAATTTGGACCAACATCCACGTATATATATATATATCATAGGTTCCCTATTTCAAAAAAAAATGCATATGGATACATATGGGGTATCCATAAGGATATGAAATGGTATATGAATAGGATGTAAATGTGGTATGCAACCAGCACTGTGATTTGGGTTTGTCTTCAAATGTGGGATATCCAATGACGAACCATTGGCTGAGGGGCGTTCCCGAGTTTGAGATCACACCATTTGAACAGTAAAACGAGAGTATTTCAGCAAGCAACATTGGGCGTCTGAAACGTTCGAACCCACATGGACCGACCAAAGATGTTGATATCAGTGATGCCGCTGGCTTCATACTAACCTCAACCAGAATATTCAGCAGTTGAACTGGTGGGCTTTACAGCCAGGAACAGACATATCTGCCAACGATGAAAGCCGGAGTTGATTGGCATTGCCGGGGGTGAGTTTTTGGGGACCCATCAATGTATATATCCCTTAACTTTTTGCTTAACACACCATTTCTGTATGTGAATTCACCATATATTCTTATACCACTAATAGCGACGGGTGACCGTTGATGATTGGCTGCTTGCTTCCACGATGGGCCAGCATTTGGGCGTGTCTGAGCATGGGGCTCTCGAATGGCAGCTTTTTCTCAAGAAGATGGGTACCTTGTGCTTAAACATGCTTAAACCATGGTATTTTGGGGGACCCTATTTTCATATACACCCAACTGTGGGACACCTTATGACGCCCCAGCACCACGGGGCGTGCGTCGTCGTTCTCTAAGTTTGCTGCTCGATTGCTCAAGTTCTGAGAGGACAAGGTCCAGCTGGTGCAGCTGGAAGAAGTGATTCGGCGAAAAGTTGCAGCTGAACATGAATCACATTTTTTTCATTTTTGGCTCCAAAGAAATCCAAAGAATATGTTCAAAAAATATGTCATTACAGATCCAGAAGATAGTTCACAATAGTTCATGAGTAAAAGCTCCAGACAGATATCGAAAGATCCTAGCCCAGACCTGCATGGTGTAAAGAAACATTTTCAAGAAAGGAAACGTCCCTAAAGCTCAGTGAAGTTATATAGCAAGTGTCTATTGTCATCATAGCAATTGCATGATGTGGAGACCAATAGCCGCAGCACGGAACTGAGGACCCTCATAGAGCTGGATTTCACGAGTCATCTGCTGGTAGTTTGCCTTTTATCAACTTGTATCTCACCTCACCCAAACCAGGTGTGTTCTGGTCTGTATCGGTCCAAAAGCATTTGCAGCCAATATAGTGCAGGGGATTGTTCAATTATCAATATTTGGGGAACTTTGTCTGCGCCCAGGGGTTGGGTCATGCAGACCTGTGCCGCCTATCGTTCTGCCATGCCATGCATCTCATGCGCTCTTCAATGAGCCCGAGCCAGGAGGCCAGGAAGGCGTCAATTTCCAGGTGGTGGGGAGAAGCAAGCCATCTAAACAGGTTATTCGTCGTTTGACAATATCAACATGAACATGATTTGCAACACACACACACATATATATATGTATATATGTCTACTTATTGACATATTGGAGGATGGTTCTGATGCCATCCCCTTCCACTGTTGACCAGTCGGGCTAACATCGTAGCTTGTCACAATCCGGATACTTCTTGACTTTGTTTTTTCAGATGAGTGCAATGTATATCGAGGTCACACAGCGGACGAATCATTTTCTATAACCTATAACTCCAGACGCTGTGTTCAGGCACGCCGTCACGCTGTGACTAAGACTAAGATAGAATTTTTATATGTGCTTTGTCCCAATTTTTGAACATATATGGAATCTCAAAATGGGCATATTAAGGTGGACAGTCGGCATATTAAGGTGGACAGTTATTTTCTCAAGCATGAGATTTGGGGGCTTTCCCCCCAAAAAAACAAAAAACACACCCACATATATATATATATGTATAATATATATATAATATATATAATATATATATATATTGATAGGCCAATTGAATTACCCCAAGCGAACTCGCATTTCCAGCTATGCAGGCGACCCCGACAAGTCACGACACTGTTCACTCAGCCCTGAGAAGTTGGATTCCTTAAGGGATGGTCATGACCATCCCATCCCTTAAGGGATTTCTCTATCTGTAGCATTGGACAAGGGTTCCGAGTAGATGGATGACCGTACCCGATAAAATATAGTGTCTAATATACTAATATCAATGGATTGGTTTAAGGGAAAAATGAAACCGGAAATATCAATGGATTTTCCCATGATGATCATGGGGCTTTCCGGTTTCAATTTTCCCTTAATCCAATCCATATACTAATCAAAGGAAGTTGGGAAGCAATACTTCCGTGTTACGGACAAATAGAATTCTGAGACTTGAAATGATGAAGGGTGATGCGCGACTGAGACTTGACCTTGATGAAGGGTGGTGTGAAACTTTACACTACATAACAATACATCACAAAAGGATTGACCTTGATGAAGGGTGGTACATCACATAGAATAAGAAGGTATGACACAGGGTGGTGACGAAAGGAGGTGGTGACGATGGGAGGTGGTGACGATGGGAGGTGGTGACGATGGGAAGTGGTGAGGAAGGGAAGTGGTGACGAAGGGAAGTGGTGATGAAGGGGAGTGGTGAGGAAGGGCCTGGCCACCGACGAGACAGAGGGTGCAGGAGGCTGCGGTGCCTCATGTCAACTGGACCTTTGAAACATTTCATGCCTCACATTTGCACCCTTGTGAGGGCCAGCAAGCGCGCTGAGCAGGGCCTTGCCACCAGCAACTTGGCATTTTGGTTGGCAAAATTCAGTTCTTGATGGTGTGGTGCGCCAAGGCCTGTCACGTTTGGGGGGGTGCACGCCCGAAGGGCCGCCGCCCGAAAGGCCGCCGTGCAGGCAATTTGGCCATGTTGGTATGAGCACGTGACGTTGATGACCATGACCATGACGATGACGTTGGTGATGGTGTGATCTTACGGTTATTGTCATTGTGCTTTGTTCGATTATAAACTTCCTCTCAGCCCTGGCATTGATCTACTGTATTTGAATGACCTTGTTGTGGGTGGCGGGTGCCTCATGTAACGTGGCTGCCTTGATTGATGCACAGGCATGCGCGCACATTGTGTATGTATATGTTATATGTATGTATGCATGTATGTGTTATACATGTGTTTATATACATGTGCGTGTTTTACATACATGTATCCTTGTGCCATCCCATGGCTGATCAAAACTACCTAGAAAAGGTTTGAGCCGCAGTAACAGCTAGTGCTGCTTGCCGGCCAGATGATCACCCATGAAATAGTTTCACATGTTTCACCGCTTTGACTGGGGTTGCTTGTTTTGCTATATGTGCTTGTTTTTTTGTTGTCCTTGAATGCTGTTTTTGGATAGTAAGTCCACTGCAACCTCATCCGCTTGCATGGTTTCACCCATCCTTGTTTCACCATATTCTAACTTTTTCCCCGGTTCCCGGAAACTACGTTCAACGCAGCAAAGTGTGTTTTTCTTCTGTCTTTTCGTCGTCATCGTTGTCGGCAGCCGCAGCCCGACGAGTGCATACGGCTGGTGTATGGCCGCGATCCACGCAAGCCTGTAAGTGAAACCTTAGTGAGACATATTTCAATATGTTGATTTAATTTTCCAGTCAAAGCGGGAGTGAACAGTTTCAAACATCTCAAATAGCAGAGATAGTGCGGACCATGTGAAGCAACACATACTCGTCGTAATCATTACCCAAAATTGCCATCCAAACCACAGCAGGGGTTAGATGAACGGGCATGGGGCATGACCAAGGAAGATAAGGACAATCCCACAAGAAAAATTAGGTAGGAAAATTAGATCCTCCATTGGGGAACCCTGGGGGTATTTTCCGGGAACCCTGGGGGGAAAAATTAGGTAGAACAATTCTTCTGTCTTTTCCGGGAACCCTGGGGGGCCGGGTATTTGAATAATCCGCTACTCAGACAAGCTTTTCGATGTGTTTTCATAGTCTTTGATCACTTTCGAGTAGCGCCAGGGGGCCGGAGTTAACCTAGGCGAGGCATGCCATCAAAGCAAAGGCCAGGTTCAGTCAGATCGGTATTGATAAATATGACATTATT